CTAGTTAAAGACCAGTTAAATACTGGTCAGAGACTAGTTAAAGACCAGTTAAATACTGGTCAGAGACTAGTTAAAGACCAGTTAAATACTGGTCAGATACCAGTTAAGGACCAGTTAAATACTGGTCAGATACCAGTTAAGGACCAGTTAAATACTGGTCAGAGACTAGTTAAAGACCAGTTAAATACTGGTCAGATACCAGTTAAGGACCAGTTAAATACTGGTCAGATACCAGTTAAAGACCAGTTAAATACTGGTCAGAGACTAGTTAAATACTGGTCAGAGACTAGTTAAAGACTAGTTAAATACTGGTCAGAGACTAGTTAAAGACCAGTTAAATACTGGTCAGAGACTAGTTAAGGACCAGTTAAATACTGGTAAGATACCAGTTAAGGACCAGGTAAATACTGGTCAGAGACTAGTTAAAGACCAGTTATATACTGGTCAGATACCAGTTAAGGACCAGGTAAATACTGGTCAGAGACTAGTTAAAGACCAGTTAAATACTGGTCAGATACCAGTTAAATACTGGTCAGAGACTGGTTAAAGACTAGTTAAGAGAATTTTGTTCTGTCAGGTAAAAACCTCAGGTTTCTGCAGATTAATAACCTGTCTAACTGATACCTGTGGCTCAAATGTACTTCCTGATGACGTCATACAGGTGTAGTTGCATACAGGTGTAGTTGTTGTTGTCGGTCAGAAAGGCATGCCTACACACTCTGCCTCTCTCTGTGGATCATAAATGATTGCCCAATGACAGAAGTTAAACTATCACAATTAGCAGCTACATGGTTAACATTTTAAAATGATCAAAGGGTCTGTTTATTAAATCTGGTCATGACATCACAGGAGGCAGGACGACGTCATCACTCAGCTTCCTGACTGCAGACAGTCCTCTGTCAGAGCTTCAGCTCCAGTAATTAGATGGAGCCGCTAGGTGACCTGGCAGCCCAGTACAGATCTGTGCAGCATGTCACCTGTCAGGTGACCCCTGAGCCACAAGCTAACGTTAGCACTGCTAAACAGCACGTGACGTCATGTTGTCGGCTCTCAGCTGAGCTGCTGTTAGCTCCGGTGGCTAACTGTCAGAGACACAGGAAGGAGCTAACAGTTGTTAGCTGCAGCTACAGACACGGCTAGCCTGTTAGCTCAGTTACCAGGTCACCGAGTTTAGAACCCGTTAACCCGGGTTAAGTCTGAGTACCAGGCGCCTGACAGTGGCGTAAAGGTTACCTCATATTTCATTACCGGCAACGGTTTGACTCTGCGAAACACTCGAGGCCGCTGGGAGAGTGAGTTCACCGGCGAATCAGTGAACGGTCAGCCGCTTCCATCCTCCATACAGTCCGCAGACACATCCTGCTGGAGCCGGGCTTCCAGCCTGAGGACGGGGCGACAGCGACCCCCAACGGCTCCCAGCAGAACTGCATCTCACCGCTGCAGATTTCTTTCTGTGTGGGGTTTTCCAGGTATGACTGCTCCCACAGTCAGGCTCATTGTAAATAAAAAATCCAAGGCTGTTTCCTGGTGACTGCTCAGTAACCCAGGTAGATAAATGTAACAAGGTGCAGCTCCTCACACGGAAGAGGACTTGATAAACCTTATTATCCTTCTACAGGGCTGTGATGGACTTAAACCTGTCCAGGTGTCCCCGCCGGACCGGACGGTTCTCTGTCAGTGGTGTCTCTGCTAACCTAACCTAACCTAACCTAACCTAACCTAACCTGACCTAACAGACCTGAAACTCAGAGCCAACATCTACAGATAAGAACCCACCTGCAGGACCCAGTAGAACCCAGTAGAACCAGTAACCTGTTGGTTCTGTGTCCTTCAGATACGGACCGGGCTCTGCAGGTCATGGAGGCCTGTCAGGCTGACGCCTCTGATGGGGTCAAAGGTCGAGCTGAGAAACTGCTCAACATCTTCCAGAGTGACCTGTTCCAGGCTCTGCTGGGTAACACACACACACACACACACACACACACACACACACACACA